GTCGTCGCTGAAGTGTTGTTCCTCTCTCCTCCTCCGCAGAAGTTTCCGCTGGCTATCCCAATAAAAATAGCAAATAGTCGAAAAATAGAAAGCGCGCGGGGCACGATGGGAAGAGGGAAAACGCGAGAGCCTTTCTTCTCTCTTTCCCCTTCCCATCGTGCCTCTCGCGTTCTCTTTTTCCTTCTCCCCAGCCTTCCTACGACACAAAGAGGCTTCTGCGCAGGAGAGAGGTTTTGTTCCCATATCGCTTCAATCGCTATGGTCGCGGAACATATTGATCCTAGCCGTCATATGGAAACTTCAACCAAGGACACCTAACTTGGGTCACACAGCCTCGGAGTTGTTTATTTACTATTTTTAGGTGAACGAACAAGATGTACCTACCTAAGAACATACCGAATCAGTGCCTTATGGAAACGAAAATAAAGTTGGCGAATTATATTAATGTATGCAGCGATTCGTAACCTGTCCCGGCAACCCGTAGACTACGAGCAGTCTCTTATTTTTATTTTGAGTCACAGTAGCTAGAGGTAAGCGTAAAGGGTAAACGAGGGCGAAAGCCCGAGGGAAGACAATCTCTCCTCTTTGTTTTATCATTAATTTGCATAATTTTACTTTTTCCCTCGGCGCGCGTGGCTCTAAGGAAAGAAAGACGACGTTCGCGATCGAGGGAACCTGAGGGGCAGGGAGGAATTCTTTATTTGGCCCATAGGCGTACGGGAAATTTTTTGCCAGGGGGGGCGGTAAACCATTTGCCCAAAAAAATCTCCTAAGTTGCCCAAATTTTCACGAAAGAGTCGAAAAGAAATGAGGGCCATATTGCAACAACATAGGCCGTCCTGGCATATGAAGGTGGCTCGATACAGGTTTTCAGGATCAATACCACGTCTGAGCATAAACTACGTCGCCATAAGCAAACATTTGGAAAAACTGCGACCACAGTGGTATTAAGATGAAAATTTGGCATTATCAGGGTTGCAGTGACATCGGAGTTGTCGTAGCAACGAAATGACTCCATTACCTATTTTTGCTCGGTACGGGAACCTTACAAAATCGTTCACAGGAGCTTTTTTCTCCAATACGGTCGCCTCGATGTTCGTGAAGTTTAAGCAAAACCTTAAGAGCGTTATCGAGATATTTTGCAATGACTTTTTATTATTAGAAATACGGTAAGGAAAAGAAAATCTTGATTTTTGGCCATTATCTGTAGAAAATGAAGTGCTTTTGTCCTGCAATTTCACCTCATAGTAGCTTTAATCGTTTTAAAAACTTGTGTGAAAGATCGTGGAGGTAGCTCTGCTTGATTGCTAGAATCGAAAGAAGGATTTGATTAGTATGTATCGAGACACTCTTGTTAGCGGTTTTGTAAACATTTCGGTCTACTTTAACAAATCAGCGGATAATTCTAAGCCGCTCGATAGATTTTTTAAAAGAATTAAGATTCTTCTCGTAATTCAAACTGAGAATTAGTCAGCCACTTCTTCATGTTCATACAGTTTTCAGTCGAAATCGCGCGGAAACGCTTGCTATGCAGGCAAGGCAGGCAATACCCATTGCTAAATGCTATCTGCCATACACTGTTCTTCGAGTGGAGATGATTCTAGAAAGTTATGCGAAAGTTTATTTTAATCAATTCTCGACTGGAAATAGCCCATTCCAGCTAGTGCAGTGCAGTATAGTGCCCATAAAAAAAAACTGCAAATATGTAAATTACTCATCACATGCTAAGCAACCACTGTAATGTAACTGGATTATTACGCCTACTTCAGGTTAATATTCAGCTCTTTAAAATAATTAAATGAACATGGAGACTTCCTTTAAAAACTGGCTTTGCCCAAATTTCCTCTCGCTGCCCAAAAAATCTGAGTTGCCCAAACTTTGGGGGGGCTGCAGCCCCCCTCGCCCCCCCGGCCCGTACGCCTATGATTTGGCCTAAACGGACATGTGCCCCTGAACGCACGGTTTACAGGTTCTTAAAAAAGTCTTAGTCTTTGGTTAGGGTTTGAGGGCCTCAGCAGCTCATCTCTACCCAACTTCTCCTGAGTGTCCCCCTCTTTCCCTTACCGGGGCAGGCAAGAAATATCTTCTGGGGTTCAATTTTAGTATCCACTGCAAAAAACTGTGGTGTACATTTATACATTTGCAGACTTGAAGCTTGTCCTAAATAAGAAGGCTGGGATTATAATCGCTGAGTGACTTTAAAACTAGTCAAAAGAACGCCCCAGTCACTTTAAATTATAACATGGGCATCTCATTCAATACCTGAAGATTCTAAAAGTGGCTGCTCTTGTTCATCAACGTCACCATCCAGATTACTACTACAGTCACTGTCCTCTGGAAGTGGTTCATGATGTGCTGGGGGAGGTGGTGAATAATCTTCAGGCGAAACGGCTTGATCTGCATTCTCTGGAAGTAGTGATGGCGGGCAATCAGGCTCGATGTCATCTTGATCATTACCATCATGAGAGGGATCTACCTCGGGCGGCAGGGGACTGAAATCAGGGTTCAAATTCTCATTCTCATGATCAGCTTGCACAAGATCCAGCCCAGAGGAGCTGTTGGTCAACTCCTGTGGATTCCTAACAGGATTACCACTCCCCTGAACCTCTGAGGTTCTGCAATTTCCGAGATTTTCTCCTTCGCGTGGGACGTCTTGGTTATTTGACATCATTTTATTCCTTGCTTCTTCACTGATCCTTTCATCATGTTCATCTGGAATTGCTTTTAAAGGACCACCACCAGCTTCAATAGAAGTTTTCGTAGGGCCCGCTATGTTACAAACATCTTTTCCTGTATATATTCAGTTAAAATGAAATACCAGGTGACCTTTCGCGCGAAAACTTGATATCTTCGCATGTGAAAATAACATGTTATCTTAACATGTGAAAATATCACCGTTGCTATAACTACAAAATAATTCGCGCCTTTCACACTAAAAAACTATTAAAGTGAAATGGTTTGGTAGTTCATTGGTGTTTATATAATAAATAGAACATACATGGCCGCTTGGAGATACGAAATTTCTCTTCTTGTGTTGAAAAAATATTTCAGTCGTGAGAAATTTCGTATCTCCGCGCGGCCATGTGATATCCTGTATATAGGGTGGATTCATTTGCAACATACGCTTATAGCTGTCGCATTCGCCTGTTGGAATTTTTTTACTTGTTTTTAGGTTTAAAAGTAATGAAAATTGCGACTGCTAAACTTGTATGTTGCAAATGAATCCACCCTATATATTTACAGTCTCCCTTAGCAAATCTTTGCCATGAGAATTGCATGACAAGCCTCGGGACTGCAAGTTAGTCTCCGTCATAGCAAGAGTCTCTACAATACCTGGTTGCGATTCGAGAAGAGACGTAACTTTCGTGAGAGTGGTAACATTCACGTATAGAGTTCTACTAAAAAAAAACATTTTCAGAGACATTGACGGTAGTGCCAGCCCAGGAGCAGGAAATATTTAAAAAGACTTGACGAACTATAAATTCAAGAGAGCATGATGGCTACTCGGATTGTATCTTACGCATAAGCAATGACCGAAGCCTAGATCTGACCAAAAGACAAATGTGATGATACGGAATGCGGAGGAAATTATAGCTTTTGGATCTGTCTATATTGTTCGATTCAGTTATCCTGATCAGAGTCCGTTGTAAAGCAAGAGAGATATAATGTGTCCGGTCCACAATAGCCACTGAATTTAATCCAAACTTTGACAGGTTTCTCGGGGTCTCAAATTCTTCCTTCACTTTAGCAAGGAGGCCGACTTAAGTAATTCTCAGAAAAACAATGCTACTGAGATGTATCATAAGCTACTCATCCTCTCAAAGCGAATACATTCACTTATCGACCCTATAAAGGTGTTCGAAGGAGCGAAGGAGAGGCTTCGAAGACTGCGAACTAGCCTTTAACTTAATATCGAGATCCAAACAAGAATGAAAATCCTAGTGCTCACAGTCACCTTATAGAAAGTTTTGTAATTATGTGAATGCTCCGTCAAAGTTTGTATTCCACATTAATGGTGTGAAAAAAAAAATAGATATACAAGACTCACCGACGGTTGTCCCGTTGTTGTCTGGGTCCAAGGTCGGCAGGAACAAGGGAAAAATTTTGTTGGATGCTGTCGATATCGCCAGCATTCCAAAAATGTTTCCATCTATGCCAATAAGAAGACCTCCTTTTGGATTTTCTCCCCGGTAGAAATCTTGTTTCAGTCGCCTTTCTTCTGTGCACTCCTGACTCGAGCGCGAAGTTAGAACAAACTCCTCGCTGTTTAATACTTCGTCAAACTCAAGACAGTATATTTCAGTGTCAAATCGCCTGTTGTTTTTAGTCCTGTCATCGCACGTCACACAGCAGAACACCTCTCTCTTTGAAATGTAGGACTGCAAAGCTTCATTACTTGGAGGGCTGCATGTTAAGGACCGCTTCTCAAAGATGTTACCCTGAAATTTCGACAAGAACCAACTTCTGTCATCAAATTTTTCAATCGGTATCATTATGAATGATACCTCCTTTAAAGCCTCGCCCGTTCCTCTAAGAAGTCTTCCAGGCAAGGGTTCGAGCAAATCAGTCGCACATTTGACGCCTAAATTGAACGATGCAATTCTATCACCGTTGAAAAGTTCGACTGAGATTGAGCCGTCGGAAGCGATCAAGTCATTCTTGGTGATCACTTGCGTTGTGGTAAGCAAAAACACACTGCTGTTTGTTGATTGTTTTAGACTTGATTCTGAACCTCCCAACACCCACTTTACGATGCATCCACCGCCAACAGTGTTCACTTCATCGGGCGGAAGTTTTTTTCTAATTCTAACGACCGAAAGAGCCGAAAGAGCGGCGATGTCGGTTGGCTTGCCCACACCTTGCCCCATTTTAGCAACTTGTGCACTTGCAGATACTTCCGTCTTGGTCAAAAGCCTGGAGCCCAGTGTTCCTCGTCCAAGTGGAATGTCGAGCACCAGATGCACTTGTGCAGCCCGTATTCGCTGTCTACAATCCTTTTCGGCAGCGTTTGAGGCTTTAGTTCTTTGAAGTACACAACGAAGCGATGTCCTATCTCCCAACTTTAGCGCCTGATTCCAATGACTGCAAGCTACATAATTTGTACGATACACAGAGCTGTATTATAGCTGCAGTCTGCATTCTAATTGGAGCTGCAAAATGCTTTTTTGGTAAGATATAAGTCGATTCTAGGAAAAAGTTCCTAAGGTAGCTGTAATCCACTTTTACGAAGTTTATAACGAAAACGTTGCCGTAAAATAGATAGTGCCATATGGAAAAACATTTCTTGCAGCTCTTACTGAAATATGTATTGTCTAAGTTGTTTATTCATTAACGAAGTATCGAGTCTGCCTTTCACCAGGCATTCAGAGGAGAACCGGACGGAATTTTCAAAAATACTCGATGGAGATCCGGCAATATTCTGATTTTCTGTAGGGCTAGGAGACAAGAAATTTAGACGTCAGTATTAGGTAAACACAGATGTTAAGAATGTAAAACGAGGAATTTTGGCCGGACACAGATTATTTTAAAAGTCATCTCCGGCTGTCGGTCAACAAATTGTGCATGTGTTATCTGCTTCTCCCAGGGGAAGAACCGCAAGCCAACCAGGGGAATATGTCGGGGAATACGAGAGGATGGATTGGATAGTCTGCCCCTGGGAGGAGAAAATTCATGACATTGTTTTAAGTTCAAATGACAGGGGGTGCCGTGGGGGAATTCAAAATTTGTAAAATAGCAGGCCATGGCAACTACAGGGATCGATGCGCCTGGGTGGGGAGGTGTACTCCTGGGAAATTTTGGTGGGAGGGTGCCACCTGTTTCTCCAAATCCTGACCCTATTTCAGGCCAAAAAATGTCATTTTCCACACCCGTTTTCAGACCAGACCTTTGAAATCCAAACCCCTTTTCAGACCTGGGGCCCGTTTCTCGAAAGTCCCGATAATTAACGGGCCCGGTAAGCTGTCTCGGTTGCCATTAAAGATCGAGGTTTCAATAGTTTGCATCTAACATGATAAAACTATCAGTTAAAGAAACAAAATGGAGTAGTTTGCTTGCCAGGAGCCGCGCTCTTATTCTTTTTATTTCGATTTGAATATTTGATTTCGGGCCCGAAAAGTTACCGGGACTTTCGAGAAACGGGCCCCTGGCCTTTAGGCAGAAATTTCTTAGATTAGAGTGCAAAGAAAAAATTCTGTCAAATGCATTTTGAAATAGCTTATTTCAACTTAATTCTCCTTCATTTGCAATTGAAGCATTAAATACGTTCATGAATACACTCCTGTAGTTCCCTCGAAAACCATACCCAATTTCATACCAAAATGGGAAAAGTGTATGTACCTGTTTTCAGACTAAAAAGGACCAAAAACCCTACCCGATGGGGCAGCACATACCTATATGGCTTATATAGGGAAATAACCCCCCTGGGTCGATGCAACAGGAATTCTCACTTCCCCATGAAGGTACCAGCTGTGTGTGTAACAAAGAGATTGCCCAGTTAATAATGATGATGATGAAGTCACTGCCAAAAGCGTGCCTTGTTTGGAGAAAATGCAAACGTGGATTCTTGAAAGAGATTCTGTGTGTTATATTTACTAAAATCCAATGATGGATTTTTGAATCTAAAAAATTCATTCTCCAAGTGGATTTATTAGATAAAATCTACAATTACTCCAAATTTTTAAGATTTGTGATCTGTTCTCTCCTTTGGGTTTGGATCCAAAATAAATACACTAGAAAGGAGTCTGGTGAAATATTAGGCTTTTTACTATCTCTTTCTTCCATTTTTGTATTTTTTTCATTTCTGGCAATGAATCCAAAGAATCTGAGAATCTCTCATTCTCTTAAAGAAAAGTCAATTTCCATTAATTTCGCATTAATTTAAGTTGCGTTAATTTCCAATACCTTAATTTCATGGAGCGTTAATTTCCTATAAATATAAGGTAGTTTTTGTTATTATCATTTGAAGTAGTGTATATACTGCATGTGTAATATTATTGATTGATCATTGCTCATATTTCAGGGTACCGACTGTTCAAATTCGTGCTGTTTCTAGTTGGTTTCCTGATCGCATTTTTCTTCAGCTATATAATGTGTACTGAACATTTATCTGATGAGCTGTCTGGAACAGTTCTTGAGTATAAGGATCAGGTAAAATACAACGGGCAAAGACAACAGGCAAAATAATTTCTTGTTTGTACCAGTGATGAGTGAGGGATGTATGTCATGAGGGATGTGAGGGATATTCAGTAAAAGCCTTCTAACTCGAACTTCTAAAGGGAAACGAGAAACAATTCAAGTCATATAATTAGCGGGGGTTACAGTTATTGCAGGGGTTGAGTGGATATTCAATTTGTCAGTGGTTGATAGCTGCAGATAGTTACTGATTGTTTCATTACTTCAGTGTATATATTTGTTATTGTTGGCATCAGGAGACAATAAAATCAATGCTACGGTTTAGTCAGTGGTTGAGTTGCAGTGCTTGCTGTGGCTGTACAGTCTGGTAGGCTCTGTTGCAGTTGTTGAAGATGAATTCTGAGCTTGGCTTTGTGGGTACTGATGCTGCCCTCAGCCATCTGCACTCTCTCCTCTCATCTACAGTGCAAATTTAACTTACTTTATTAGAAATTAAACGTAACATGGTTATGTATTTTTGTGATAAAATTATGTGATCTGTTTGTTACACCATTATTTAATATCAAATTGCTGTTGTGTTAATAGGTTTAGTGTTTTTACTGATCACACAACAAGAAGAGCTAATGGGTTGGCATCTGATTGGAGTAGAAAGAACCAGAATTTAAGTTATTGGGGTAAATTTCAGAGAAATTTATTATCTAGGGAAAGGAAATTCAGTTTGAGTTAGCAGGCAATTTGAGTTATCCGAGTTGCAGTTAACTGAGTAAAAATGGCTGAAAAGTAGGGTGAAATCCAAGGGAAATGGGACTTTGTTCGAGTTAGCCGGGAGTTCAAGTTATCCGAGTTCGTGTTACTGGGGTTCTTGCATGTGTATTTATATCTTGCTGGATCATCCTATGGGAATTCTTACCTCCTGTTTCAGATATCTCTTGGCATCTCTGTTGGAGTTGGTGTTATTGCTGGCCTGCTAACATTGTGCCTTTTTTACGTTGGACTTTTTCTACTTGGTAATTCATAATATTTTTGATATCTAATAGCCAGTAATTATAGTAGATGTAAATAATGAAATCACCCAACAATTTTTTTGTTAGCCTGTCATTGAAATGTAAACCTCAACACCACAAAGACCTTGAGGAATAATATCTCCTTGTGATTATTTTGATTGCAAGTAATAGAAATCTCTCAGGGGCGGATCCAGGATTTTTTTAGGAGGGGGTGCACTCGTCTCTTGCTCTACTTCAACACCAATAAACCACATAGTTTTTTTTTTGGCAGAATAACAGTTGTATTAGAAAACCACAGGTCATCTCAGGGGGTGCGCACCCCGTGCACCCTTCCCCTAGATCCGCCCCTGTCTCTTATTTGAACACTTCAATGGAGATAAGTCAAATACAGCATCTTTCATAGGAGTTGGGCTAAGCATGCGTTTTATTTTTTAAAGGAGCGACCATGGGATGGTTTGTCGGTATGGCTCTTCTGCCCCTCCTATACAAGCATTCAGTGTACTTGTCTGAACACAACTGGCTACCCTACATTATTCTCAGTGCTTTTGCCATTGCTGGTGGAATTCTCATTCTCTGCATTCAGAAGGTATGCCTTTTGCATTGTATATTTTAAACAACAACAACAACAATTTTTTTTTTTTAAAAAGTGCCCTTTTATCATTTGTTTGGCAAGCAGAAAGAATGCCAAAAATCACCCAACCAGCATTATATTTGTTGCCGCCCCAAAATATCTACCTATATAATTATAACATATTTATGATAAGCCCCTTTGGGGGAATAATAATTTACAATAAATTATTTCATTTAAGTACTACAATTCACAACTGTCAGTTCCAGATGTCCAAATCCCATTTTTGATCTATTTATAGACTGTAATAATCATCTCTACTTCATTTATGGGAGCATTCATGTTTGTCAATGGTGTTGATTACTTCGTGGAGAACTGCAGAGCCCTTTATTACACTGTCAACATCCTGCATGGTAAGAAGACAATAATTAAGTGAAAAATACTATTAAAAAATGATGTGAGAGTAATGTCATCTGTACTAATATAGTCTTGTTTGATATGATGTTTGCAAATCATTCTTTGCAATTGAAGTCTTTTCATTCTAAAATATCTTTTGTCAGAATAAGTAGTTTGTAGTTTTGCCTTTGTTAAGGAGAATTGTGACAATTCTTTTTTCTCATAAACTACTAATTATGTAAAATTTCAACCATGAGGTAAAAACAAAATATAGCCACATAGGAATTGATGCATGTAATTCTGCTTTGAGCACATGCTGGCTTTTGTCAGAATTTACCAATGAGCAAATACTAAATGGGTAATTGGCCTCAATTGAAGTGTGCACCTCACTTCTGTTTTGCAAGTTAGCTTAAGTTCTGTGCAAGTTTGAAAAGAGATGAAAAAAGTAGCCTGCCGCTGAAACCTAGCTTATTTCACTTGGGGATTATTAATTTTATGGAACTCATTTGCCATATTTATGTTACAGGCCAAAATTATAGCCCTATTTCATGAATAGTAAGGGCTAGGAGACAAAGGAAATTGAGATTCAGTGTAGGTTTAAAAATTTTAACTTGAATTTAATTTTGACTTAATGTAGCATTAATTTTACAAGTTATTACTTGATCATCACTTCACCATGGTGAGGTAATAAAAGTTCCTCTTAAGTATTTCAGATTTCAGAAACTTAAACCATGTGTTTTAATGGATCTTGTGCATTAATTTATAAGGTCACCACAGCAAGTCTGATTTGCCACACTGTTGGTACACTTGGGTGGTATTTTCATTGATTCCAATCATGTTTATTGCTGGAATGGTTGTGCAGTTTTGCAAGACTGCAAAGGACAGTGATCACAGACAAGGTAATGATAAAAAAAACCAGACCAAAACAAAATAATCACCTGATTTTTAATTACTAGCTTTCTACAATGAAGCTTTTAGGATGATGTCATCCCCTGCGTGAGGTACTAGTCCAATAATTAGTATACTTAACTTTGGCTGGTTAATGTTACCTCTATTGCACTTTCCTTTTTTTTATTGTACATTTTCTCTTCTAAGAAAACAAAGTGATGGCATTGTCAAGTGCTATATATAAACCTCCCAAGGGACTGTAGTTGAGAAAGCTTGTTGTTATGTCTCATATTCATGCTGTTTCCTAACTAACAGTTGTAATAATAAAATTTTCTTGTCGCTGAATGTGTTTTCCACGATCCATCTTGACGGGTGCTGTCCCGGGGGTGGGGGGGGTATCTTTTCTTAAACAGGATAGGAAAATCAGCGATTTTTGTCTTAAACAGGGTCAGGGTATGAGGGGCCAGGCCGCACTTCCCCACCCAAGGATATATTGAGTACCCCCCCCCCCCCGGGGGGGCTGTGAAGCAGCATTCAATAAGAGACCCATTATCTAGACAAAGCACACAATCATTAATTAATTCTGACATGGCTCAGCAGCTGTTGTACATTAATAATAATAATTAGCATTTTATAATCTGCTAAAACCAGAGCAAAATTTCTTGATGTCAATATCTTTCATGTTTTGAATTGGGGACATCACTGTTGTATTTTAGAGGTACAGTTGACTCACTAAGTTTAGGGTCTAAGTAGTTAAGGTTTACAAGAGGGTAACTGGATAATGGTTTGAAAATAGCATGAAAAATTATTACCTGGTGTCATCAGTTAACCCCTATCAGAAGTTTCTTTGATCTGTCCCTGTATACAATAATACAGTAAAAACCTGCTACTGAGAACCAACATTTCCCATGTTGGCCAAAACAGGTTCTTATAAACTCGTAGCTGATATTCAGCTCATTCCTTTGGTAAAACCTCTGTACCATTTCAATTACAGTTGGAGTAATAAGGCACCTATGTCTGCAAAGGGGATCGTTAAATTATGTTGACTTATCTTATTTGTCCAAGTGTACAGAATCTTGTTTATAGATTTTAGAAAATAAGAACCTGTTTCAAATTTAAGGCTCAACAGGTTCTTGTATAGAGGGGGCCTATAACTGGCCAATTTTAACCTTAAAGGTTCTTAAAAACTAGGCTCTTAGTGGCAGGTTTTTACTGTGCGCTTGTGTTTTTATCTGCATAAACTGAGTGAAATGTTCTTATTCTATGTTTTCTCTCCAGCTTATTCTCAAGTTAGACATGGTTCTTTCTCGGCCACACCTATGCATAATTTGGCTGGTGATCAGGTAACGAAATTTCCTTAATTTATTGTCTAACTGTTTAGGAAAAACGAACTACCCTATTGTATGAAATTTTGGCAACACGTTAATTTAGTGATTTTGAAAAATCCTTATTTAGTGGCACCCCCTTTAGTTACTTTTTATAAATGTTGGAACATAAGTCACTTAATTTTCACGAGCTGAAACTTTGGCGAATTAAGGTGATCAAAACTTTTACGGCTTATTTAAATCAAAATCATACAACATTTGAACTAAATAAGTGACACTGCTATTGTAATGTCAGATCTTAATGCTCTCCTCACTCATATAGTTTTAAGGTACATTGTCACACAAAGTCAATGATACACGTCATGATCGACCATCACATAGCATGTGTTTGAAACTGACCAAATTGTGGAATTTCGTATTGTACTCCAGAGTAAGAGAAAAATTTTCTTATCCACTTGTCGCTCGGACAGGCACTATATTAAGTTTGGTTGTCCAATACCCCGGTCCAATACCCAAGAGTTCTTATCCAAAAAGTTTTGCCAGGTTCCTAAGCCAAATGTAGCTCGTAAAAACAAATGAAATATGGTCGCGGTACAGGGTCCACAATAGGGGTTCTCAAATCCCGCTTTCCCGCCTTTTTTTCTTCTGAATCCCGCCATCCCGCTCTATTTTACGCCCGAATCCCGATCCCGCGCCATTTTTTTTACGAGATTTTTTGCTTGATTATTGAAGTAGACGTTATATAAGACTTACCTTCTAACAATTGTCAGTTTTGATGGTTAAGGTTCTCAACATCACAATAAGCGACCGTTATTTTCTGTTTTGCTTATTTTTTCGTATTTTTGGAGTTAGGTAGATTGATGTTATCTGTCTGTCTCACGATGATTCGACTGCTTTACTGCTAGTTTCCATCAGGCGATGAAGCCAATTCTGTCAATTGTTTATGTAGAGTGTAGGAAAATGTTTTTAAACACACAGGCAGGAGCCCATCAAAGGACGGTCGAAGGACGGGCTTCTGAGTTCGACTTCATCCAACTTCATTTTTTTCACGGTGACATACGAGACTCACGGAAATATGACACTTTTCGCGGGAAACAAGCCGTTCTATTTATAAATCTACTCGGGAAAGGGTTGACTCAAGAAATCAATGGAGATGGAGGCTCCATTTGATGGGCTTCTGACACAGGTTGTAAAGACTGAGAAAATAGTATCTTTTATGAAAACATAAACCTGTTATTGAATCGAATAGGACGAATAGCACGACCAAATGCGGACACCCTTCTAAGTAGGAAGTTTGCTTCTCCATCTAAAGTGGCTACCCTACCCTACCCTACCGTAGCGCCGGGCACAAAGTCCATTGATATTCCAGGTTACAGTGTATACAAGGATATTGAGGTCGTTGAAACTCTGACCTCTCGTGAGTTCTCTTGAACTCTAAAACTCAGGTCGGCTCACCTTGACTGTTTCTTTTACGACTTTCAAGGTCTTCACTTCCCTTGAAACAGGAGCTCTAAATATTTCTTTCGGAAGAAACGCATTCCCACTGGCCCCTTTTTTGTAATACAGAGCCCACAATTTATGATGTCTACCACATTGTCGTGATTGTCCACTTCCATCAGTGCTGGTGTGGTCATACCGTGGCCAGACTTACTTAACAAACCCTCAGTCCAAAGAATCGTCCAGGTCCGACAGGCAAAAGCAGAAAAGGTCAAATCCGTGAACAAAACAGGAATCAGTGCAGATCAATGCAGGATCTTAATGAATGTGACTTCTAACCCCACTGATTTGATACCTCTTTCCAAGTAACGAAAACGATGAAAATAGCAAAACCAGAAAAGACGAACAACACACAAAAGTGATAATTTGACAGGCTTCACTTCCTTTGACACTCATAGCTTGACTACAAAGGCGGTATACACACTAAAGAACCACTTTTTTTCAGTCAACACTAATAAATGTTTTGTCAAGACAAACTAAATTCCCATATCCTACTATTTTTTCCTTACGATTCTCGCATCCGATCTCCATAAAAATAGGAAATCCCGCTTCCGCTGGTTATTAAAATTCCCGCATCCCACTTCTGTTTTTAGCCCCCATCCCGAGTATCGCTACGAAAAAAAGCCCAATCCCGCATCCCGCCAAACCTATTGTGGACCCTTGCGGTATAGCAAAGTTAAATGGAATACTTAACCTTATTTTGTCAAGTATGAGGTTTGCTTTTATAACTATAGGGTTAATTTTTATAATTCTACAGTAACTTGAAGTCAATTTACAACTGTTTCTGTATTTTTTTCTAATTAAAAATGTGCTTGTCCCACGGACAAGTCTTGTCAAAGGTTGTTACATGTCCGACCTAAATTTCTACCTGTCCCGGACAATCGGACATAGGTTTTGGCGCACCCTGTACTCACTTTAATTTAGCGACGATTTAAATTTTGCAACACTTAATTTTACATTTATAATTTAGCAGTTTTCTTACTAAATTAAAGTGTTTCCAAAATTTCATGTGATAATGTAAAACACTTTTAAATTATAAGTCGGACGTAACTAGCAGTGATAAATCTCATCAAACAAAATCATATTAGCCTGGCTGCCTGTGTTCTTATTCTATTAGCCTTGTGTAAAGTTATATTATAGGAGAGAGCAAAGAGCGCGAAAGATTTTGTTGTTTTTCTCCTCATGTTGTCAGTCTTCATGCCCATACCCAACAGTTTACCTGCGACTATCCTTATACATGACACCTCGAGTAATGCAGGTTATGTAAATATTAACCCATTCGCTCCTGGAGATTTTGCCGAAAAACGCGTTTTGAAGCTAGTCGAGTGGTTTTGTGGTCACTGTCGTGCGATAAAGAGGTAAAACTTACCACAAACCGGTTTACAGGTCGTACACTTCATGGCCTTCTGATCCAGATGCAAAATATCAGCTTGCGAAGTTCGGGCATGCGCAAAAAGCAATCTTTTTTTTTTTCTTGTTGGACATTTAGTAGGCTTCATTTTGGTGGGAATAGTTCTTAGGAAAGCTTTCAGGATCTTAGGATTAGGTGAAAGGAAAGGTAGGTGGGCAATGGAACAAGATTTTCATGGAGATTTTCAGGTCAATGTACATGGTTTTTGCCTCTTTCTCCGGTGTCCTTGACTGAATTGTGCTCATTCTGGTATAGTTTGAAAGATCTCTTCACTCTGCACAAGTTAGCGGACAAAGTTGTCCTTGACCGTTAAAACTGATGACGTCACAAAGGGTAGAAAGGACGTGGATCTGCACGGGCGGTTACGGGCGGTTCAGGGGCGAATGGGTTAATGATGATACAATATTATTAAGGTATTTTTATCAGGATTTATATTACCATTTTTACAATAACTGTACAATTTCTCGTGTGCTGATTGGGGGGCAGTTATGTTCAATAAGAGTAAAAAACAGACCATGGAAACGATGTGATGGTGAGGATGCAGTTTTTCTCTTTCTCGCATTCACTGTTTTCCAAGGAATTTCAATAGAAATGGACATCAAAATTGTCAATGTTATTGTAAAAACCAAACAGCAACAGTTTTCCATAGTCTGTACTCTCATTGACCAATAGAAAGGTTGTCATGAACTCAAAATGTTCAAAACTTTGCAGTAAAACCACTCACCCATGGCTCATGGTTCCACTTGACGTTTGAACATATTGACGTCATTTCTATGGTTA